AAAAAAAACAATAAGAGGGAGAGGAGAAACTGGACTTGCTTGTTACTCACATGTGAAGATTTTCTAGCTTCTTTCTAGACACTTCAGCTAAGCGCTGTCTTTTAGCCGCGTCTTCAGCACTCATTCCTTTGGCTGCCGATGTTCCTTCTCGAATCAAGCCAAAACGAATCAATCGAAGATTTCTCTTATCTTCGGGCACCTGTACAAAAGGAGCTAATGATCCAGGGGAAAAGAGCAATTCATGGCTGTACACTTACCTTGACACTTTTTCGTTTCTGAATCTCAGCCGCATTCTCTCGTTGAATGGCCAATGACCCCTTGATTTCTCTACCGTCTAGAAGAAAATTCAACTTGCACAAACAATTACGGATTTCAGATAATACCTATCATACCTATCTCGAGTCCTCGCTCGGTGGCCTCCAGCAGCGCTTGAGCCTCTGCTGCAGTGGAAAAGTGCACAAATGCTGTACCTAAACAGAACGTATGATATTCTTCTCATTCCATAAAAATTTCTACAATCGAACGAGCTTTATTTTAGAATGCTTCCACACCAACCTTTAGGATGGCCACTATCACGAAATTTGCAGCACAGCGCAAGTTCCACCTTACCAAACTTCTCCATCTCGGCCTTCAGCGTTTCTTCGGAAGTTTCAAAAGAGAGATTTCTGAATGAAAACTCGAAATGCCCAACCATGTTCTAGTGATCATGTGAGTATAGCAAGAACGCTTTATAAAGTCACCTCAAAAAGATAACACGATTTTCATCAATCGCTGAATCCTTCTTTTTCGGTTTTACATCTTCATCGCTTTCTTCCTCCCCTTCTTCACCATCTTTCTGGCTCGTGCCATCATCGCTTTCCTGTCCAGATGCACTTTCGTCACCGCTACTATCTTCGTCAACTTCTTCGTCACTAAGAGATAGGAAGAAGTTAACAACCAAATCAGAAGTCAAAACCATGTAGAATAAAAAGGAAACTGAAATTATGAGACTAATGACTGACTAATTATGAGCAAGACCTCACTATATCCAGCCGTACAAAATCTCACCTCAAATCCTCATCATCATCTTCTTCATTCTCTTCGCTTTTCACTTGAGTTGTCTGAGGCTTATGTTTCTTAGACCTATAATTTGGACTCTTCATTTTGTACTGATGCGCCACTATGAGATTACCCTGACGTTTCTGGTTCTTCTTTCACATCTTCGCTGTCTTCTACTTCCAATTTGACCTTCTTTTTCAGCTGTTCTCTCTCTGAATTTCACGAATGAACGCGTTCACGACTCTGAGATGAGTCAACTTGCCTTCTTGAGCAGTCGTCTCATATGTATCCTTTGGAAGTGCCCAGTCTGCTGCTACCAAACGGCCCTATAACTGGAGAAGTTTGTGGGTCAGAAATTAGAAAAAGCTATGAAGCTTACTTGGAACTTATTGGAGTTGAAGTGTTCCCGAGCCTTCTCAGCAGCTTCTTTCGTCTTGAACTGAACGAAAGCGAAGCCAGCAATGCGCTTCGGCATTTTCTTCGATGGAGGGAGGACAATGTCAGTGAAAGGACCAAATTTGGAGCATACGTTTTGCAGGTCTTCTTTTGTCGTCTGAATAACCGACAAAACTCTAACAAAAAGCTGAGAAGCGGCAAGTTGTGCAAACATATGTTCCTAAAAACCGAGATCAAACTTGCCTTAAACGGTAGATTTCTGATGATCATTCTCCACGCCTTCAGCTTGGAATCTTTGTG